TTATAATTGCACATCAAGCAAATGGTGAGCTTGCAGCCATTTCACTTCATCTTCGAGTGGATCTCAGGAAGTTCTCATACAATTAAAAGCTGCCACTGCCGATCCACAGACATCTCCAGAGTTCAGTTCTTCTCTGCATGCTGTTAAAACAAACATAATGCACTGAGTCAGTCTGAGCACCTAAGGGACAATCTCAAAAAGGTCAATTTGTTCCAACATACAAGTAATCAGCATTTTCCCCAGGAGCGTGTTCACAATGCTGGGCATCAATTACAGTTTACAACTTTTTGAAGCTTTAGCGAAGTTAAAATCCACTTCTTGTGACAGATACGGGTCAATTTATTTCACACCCAATGCCATCAAGCAGCAAAAGACAATTCTAGGTATAGTGCATGTTCCGTCTACCTACAGCAACCATTTTCCAAAATATGACCATTCTCTGGCAAAAAAAAAAGTAACATTTGAAAAAGAGCATCAGTTTACCCGTGTAAAAACCTTATCTACAAGTGAGGAATAGTGTTAATTTGGATACCAGTGGATCTGGAATGAACTCTACTTTCCGGTGACATATAATGTTACATCTATGTTGAGATTCCAAGTACTCAGGATGCTTGAATGGCATTATACTAATCTGAAAAAATTGCAAAATTTGACCCTACCTTGGGAACTGAGCATTCAATTTAATTAAATTAACAAAATTACCTGCTTAAAATTGCTATCGTAATTATACCATAGTGGGAGAAATGTCTACTAATAAGGAATGTGTACACAAGGTTTGCCCCCGAAGGTCTGACTGGCCCCTGAACCACAGAAGTTTTACTCTTTCCATCCCACAAAATGTCCGTCCATCACATGCGTGATGGACAGACATGCTGTGGGACACTTTCACTTGTGCTTATATACCTTATTTTTATGCAATATCTCTTGGTACTAATATGATTTCCTAATGGTTAAAAGAGGTTTTAGGATAAATTCATTAATGGTTGGAGTAAAATGAGCATTGTGCAGACAATCATGTTCACCTCGGATTGCATCAGATGATCAGCAGTGATTCATGCCGTAATTAATCCAACCTATTCCCTACTGATCAACTCAAGGGTGTCAAAGAATCAGAATCAGATATTCTCCACTTTTAAAAACCATGTAATTGCAATCAATCAGCTGCCAATTGGGTTGATGGATCCAGGGAATGCAAGGGTCCCACAATGTCCGTCCGTCAAAAATCCATCTACATGTATAATCATTGCAAAAATGAGTACATTCACACTTTTACTTATGTCTTTATATATATGATAAATTGGCTGAGGCAGCACCCCGGCAGCACGTTTTGCAATTTCTTCTGGGATTGATGAAATTTTGAAGCCAAAAACAATTCTTTCAACAATTTTTATTGCATTTCAAGATATAAAACTAAGGACCTCAATTATGAAAGACATTTGCCACTAAGATGAACTAATACTAGTACTAACTGGTATGATAATTTTTCTCAGATGTTCAATCAGGATTGAATTTCAATTCATCGTGTGACAAATTCCCAATGTGGGACTGTCCCGCAACATCAGTCCATCACAATAGTAGTATGTACAATGCTGTGTAATGTGTTAGATGTACTTTGATCCACCTGAGCCCTTTCACCTGTTTGGAATTAATGCGGTCAATGAAGTTAGCAGAGTTGTCGTTTTTGTTTTAAAGGTCCCCTATTATGCTGTATTCAGTCGTTTAAAATATGTCCAATGGGTCTTTAAAAAATTGTTAAGAATTCAGTTACAAAGAAAAAAAACCACACGCATCCAGGCCTAGTGAGACCTCTTCTCTCACCCCGTCTGTGCTGGCCTGAAACACGAGCTGTTTGGAGTGGGCGGAGTGGCTATGCCAATGAGGCACTGCTCTGATTGGTTGCCTGGCCACTTCGATTCTGGGGGAGGGTGCAGACCCAAAAAACCAGGAAACCAAGATGGCAGATATTTCAGGACCGGTGTCCGCAGCATGTATTGCTGTGAGACCGTACTTGTTTGATCCCAAATCCGACCCTGAACGGGAGGAGGAAGCCATTGAAGTATTGCAGCAACGTTTACAGCAGGATTTCAATGAGTGGCAAGTTCAAATTTTAGTGTTTTGCTCGTATGATCTTGCCTTGATTGCATATGATTGTAGCTGTACTGTTATATAGTCATGTTATATACCCACTTGGCTATCCGGAGGAAACGCTGCTAAAAGCTCCTGTTACCCATTTCCACTAAAATGAAATGCAATTCCGACACAAAGCTACTACATGAGTTTGTAACAAAAACACAAATGGTGTAAGCGTTGCTTCTGTGGAGCAAGTGACTCGAAAACTTTTACCTAAAAAAAAAATTCCGTATCCGATCCAGTTTTTTTCGCTTTTTATTCTTCAGAACAATTTTCAATGGTGGATGAAATTCCGCCATGGGAATGCAGAGAAATCGTTTGTTATACCAGACACGTTATTGCGCATTTCGCGATTGCATTCACCGCGATAGCCTCATAGAACTAGCCCACACTATGGCAAAGTACTCTGCTGACCCTGGTCATGGATAAGTAAAACGATCATCTCACAGTAGCAGTAAACAAACCCAAACACATACCCCAAGCTCTGAAAAACCTTCGTCTGGTCTAACTACAGCCTTTTCAGCCGAATTTTGTTGACATATACAACGCCTCTCCAGTTAGCTTCAACTGTAGTGGCTATAATCTGCCAATGTTGTGATGAAACTGCCACATTAATGCTAACCAAAGTACCACATGCATACCAATCAGAATTACTGCATATAAGTTAATCAGGAGCATTTTTTAAGTCACCCGGAACGCAAACTAACATGCAGTAGCCAGTAACCGAGCGTATTTAACAACAGAGACAAACATTATCCTGCAATACAGGTTTTACAGACAGTAAGTTCCGTTACCGCGAACAGTTGTACCAAGCATCCAAATTACAAACAAGTATAAAAAGTTAGCTTCATATGAGCTTAATGTTCACACATCTTCTGTTGAATGTCCCCTGATATTACTCTTGCATATTTAGGACACAAACATTAGCAACAGTAACTTAGCTACGTTAGCCGCAGTGCTACAGCCACATTCAACAGGCTATCACGTTAGGTAGGCTTATGCAGTAAAGCAAGACAAAATGGTAAAACTTGTTAATTCCGCACCTGTGAGTCATGGACAGTTGCTACCGATCCAGTCTTCAGCTTCAGATATTTTACAAAGCCTGCGTTTGAGGCCAGTTGTTCGTGTTAACTATTGTTAGCAATCCTGCTAGCCACCCTTAATGCGTTGGCTTCACTTACAAGTCATTATTTGTGGTTATATCGTTGCTTACAGCTTGTGGCTCCGAGGGCTTGATCGATGCAACTGCTCAAGGTTTGAGAAGCAGCTGAGATGCATATCCAGCACAGAATTATCCTTTATTGACAAAGCTGTCTTCGGTGAAATGCCAAACACAAACAGCTAACGTTCCCTTTGAGTGTGGCTGTTTGCCCCCGGCAAACAAAAAAGCTACCTACTGATTTCTGGTGGCATCGTCTTTTGGAAGAGAAAATAGCTGTGCATTTTTTTTTTGCATCCAAAAAACAAAACACAGACAAGCAGCTTTGGGAGGCATACTAACGAAAATGCACCTCAAATGATCCGCGGTTCTTCTTCTTCTTTTGTATTTCCAGAAGTGTAGACGCTACTAAGGTGTAATATGATCCGCGGTTGTTTGTGCCTGCCATAATAGTTTCAGGGGTGGGCAGGTCCAGCGCCGTGATTGGCTCTGGCTAGGTCTGTACTAATTGGACGGCACAACCTGACAGGTTTTGCCCAGATCTTGTGAAGATCTCGGGACGAGCTGTTCAGAGAGGGAATCACATTCTCGGATTACAGCAAAATCCCTGTATCTTATGTTTAGAAACTTTACAGAGGTTTAGTATGACATCCAACATTATAACATTACTTACATGTATTTAAAGAAGGATCAGCATAATAGGTCCCCGTTAAGACCAGAAATGACAAATTCCCGATGTGGGAATGTCTCGCAGTGCCTGTCCATCACAGTGGTATGAACACTGCTGTATAATGTGTATGACATATTCATAGACGTAGTTTGATCCACCTGAGCCATTTCACCTGTTTGCTGTTAATATGTTCGTTGAAGTTAGCAGAGTAGTAGTACTTATTTCCTCATTTGTATCTCAGCGTTTATTCAAAATAATGTGATCTCTAACTGTCTATGAACCTGAGGCCAGATAGTCATGTTGAAGGGTGCCAGATGTATGCACAGTGTTCAAGTTGTTATTCTTCTGAATGAAATATCCACTGCATACAATAATAGTTTTTATTTGTTGTGGATTTTACTGCTGATCATAAAACTGTCCCACAATGTCTGTCCATCACACATATTTAATCCATTTTGCCTGCCTTATGGTAGACTTCCTGGCAAAATCTTCTCCATGGAGCTTTAGCACTACTGAGTTATAGTAACCTGAATGAAGTTTCTTCTTTTTCTGCACAGTAGTTAGTTGGAACATAAAATGAAATGATGCAGCTGCTAGCAAATGACAAATTATGGAGTTGTCAATGCCGACTACCTTATGTTGAGAAAGAACCCTTCATTTGAGTATCTCCTATAGAATTGCCCATACCCTAAACTAACTTAAAACGTTGGTCTTCTTCCTCGGTGTGAACATTTGGCTTTGTGGTTCAGTGATGAATAACATTGCAGGAATATCCATTTTAAGCCTATTTTCAATAAACATGAAGTGTAAATTGATAGTTCCAGGGAAAAGATTGTTTCCACACCTCTTGTTCTCAGTTAAATAGGTTATGCACTTCTAAAAAAAAAAAAAAAATCAGAAGTTTTTGGAATATAGAAAGGTTTATTTTTCTCTCCTGGTGTTATACATATGATGACCAGCATTGTGAACACGCTCACAGACAAATCAAGTGATCATCATAATTCACATTCTGCCTCATGTCAATTAAAACTCAGTGAGTGCTGCCGGATGGCTCACTCGGAAAAGCATCGCGTTGCGAAGCAGAAGTGACCGCCACGGCGCGGGTTCGATCCCCGCCTCATACCCAGCTCTTTTCAGAAGTAGCACGCAATTGGCCAATGTACTACAGCAGTGTTTCCCAACCCTGTTCCTGGAGTACCCCTGCCCTGCATATTTCAGATTTCTCCCTAATTTAACACACCTGATACAGCTGATCAGCTCATTAGTGGAGTACCTAATGACCTGATCTGGGTGTGTTAAATCAAGGAGACATCTGAAATATGCAGGGCAGGGGTACTCCAGGAACAGGGTTGGGAAACACTGCGCCTACAGGGATGCAAATTGGGAAGGGTTATGTAGTTAAGAGTTCCCTAGGCGCCTCCTGTTGGCCAGATGGGCGCTCATAAGGAAGATTCTGAGCTCGCCGATGTTCAGGTATCCTCTGCCCTCGTTCTGAGCTAGTGAAGTCACAACCAGTGAATGTATAAGCAGCAGTGGCTAACGGGCGCGTGCTTCGGAGGAGAGCCGCGAGCTGTGTACACTCTCCTGAGTTGGCAACAGGGGGCCGCATATGCGAAAAAGCCCAAGTACTTGTACATAGTTCCCTAACTGGATATTCCAGATTCGGGTGGGATTGGAGATGCCAAAAAAAAAAAAAAAAAAAAAAAAAAAAAAAACCTCAGTGAGCTTTTGCAAAAACAGCCTAGCTTGCAATAATTCAGCCAGATAAGGGTGACTGATGAACGCCTAGATGTTCAATATAAACCAACAATGTCAACATTTTCTGAGATAGTGATAGAAGGAAAGAAAATTAAAAGTAGCTGTAAAGCGTTTGGTTATTAAATGAAAAACTAACACTCCTGTCCATCCACAAGGGATGACTCAGGAAATCTAAATGAGTTTGGACCGCTGATAGCCCGTCACATCAAGTTAAATTGACCACTCATCACACTGCCCCTTTTCCTGTGCTTTAATTGGATATTGAAGATATCAATCTCAATTTCATCCATTTTCCAGAAATGAGATAGACAGCAGATTGTCCATGATGTTCCTGGACATCCAATACAATGATGTTCCTGGAATGACAATACAAATATCACTTTGCACTTTTTATACTGGACTCAAAAAATACAAATAATTTCACGTGATCTGAATTTTCTAGGACTGCAGGATGTATGCGGAGGACAACTGTTCATTAGGTCCATAAATATTTGTAAAGTGACAATGCTATTATTACTTTAGCTGTTGACCATAGAATATTGGAGTTGAAATTAAATAATAAATACTTCTTCAAAGTCAGGATATTCTGCTTCAGCTGTCGGTCAACAAATCAGACATTGGGTGGGCAATGTAAGAATTGCAGGATCTTTAGGGAGTCCTTTTTTGGGGACCAAAAGTATTAGGAGAATTGGATGCTCAACTGTGCCATGGCCAGGTGTGTTTCATTCCCTAATAATTTCATTCAGGAGTGAACACATAAGAGGTCCACTCTTGATTTCAAGAGTAACATCTTCATTCGAAATCTGCTGCTGTTAATCTTTAGCCACATTTTCCATCCATGTCCAAAACTGAAGCACTTGAGCGGTCGCATGATTTTACTCCTTTCAAATTAGTATCTTTATTTCATAAATATCTTATTCAACAAATAGTTGCAGTTAGTCGCATTGCTTATCAAACAAGTTAGTCTCCGCCTCAAAATGTTGCCAGTGACAGGTCCTCTTGGCCAAGAACCTTCATGTACCCTACCTCACTGCCATTCAAAAAGGGAATTGTTTACTTTTGTGATTAGTATTAGACCCAGGGGTTAAAGTGGGCCGGAACGGTCCAGAACTGCGTTCCGCCACCTTAGTTTGAATTGAAATATTTATTTGACTAAAGCTGCTTTCACACCGGACGCAAAACGAATTTTTTGCACGACAGATTACATTCAAAGTCAATGCAAAGACGCGAATACTCCCGTGTATTCTCGTCTTTACATTGACTTTGAATGTAACCTGTCGTGCAAAAAATCGTTTTGCGTCCAGTGTGAAAGCATAGACTGTATAAAAAGATGGACGCAGCACCCTGGTCTGAAAAATGAAGTCCATGCGGAAGTACCATAAAATGGCATTCTATTTAATAGCCAGCAGATGGCGACGTCGGTGGTTGCAGAAAGAAGTCCAATGCTAGAGAAGTCTATGAGAAAGTGACCCTACTTTCCCACCTGATTTTTCATTTAAATAATGATTTTTCACATTTTTTTTGTGGTAGCTATAGCAAGTTTTAAGTCTCCTTCGATATATCATGATGCTCATTTTTGTAAATTATGGTCCCATATAGACTAGAATAAAGGATTAAGCCAGAATATGCTTTTGGGGGCGTGGCTATCCTCTGGTCCTCGTCCGATACGGTCAGATCCAGAGCCATGGTCCTCCCCGGATCTTCAATACACACTGTCGTCCAATAGAAATCACATCTGGTTTCAAAATGACAACATGGCGCAATTCAAATTGCCAAAATCGAGGCTTCCTTTATGGCATGCTGAAACCAATGGGTGACATCACGGTAGCTTCGTCCATCTTTTTATACAGCCTATGTGTGAAAGCGCCTTAACAGTAGTGCCGCGGACTACATATCATTTTTGCATGCTGCTTTCAATTACAGCCTGTCTGCCACTCTCTCAAAAGCACCAAGATGCTCAACAAATCAGAGCACAACATCAGTCTCTGCTAGCCCCGCCTTCACTAAAATGCAGCTGTATCATACGCTGTATTTCATTTGAATAAGTGCCTCGGTCACGTACCAGCCTGCGAGGAATTGTCAATGTTTGAAACGGCGTTTATAGCCGAAGTAAGTGGATTAACTTAAGTTGAAGTCGATGGTGAAGTTTTGTAATATGCAACAATTCAAACCGGCCAACTAAAAGAATTTAAATTTAAAAAGGGTTAACGTGCGCCCCGGTGGCTCATCGGTCTAAGCGTGCGTACCATAAAGGCTGTATCCTTCCCGCAGCGACCTGGGTTCGATTCCGGCTCAGGTCATTTGCTGCATGTCTTCCCCCATTCTTCTCCCCAACCTCCCTGTCTCTCTACACTGTATAACTGTCAAATAAAGGAAAAATTCCCAAAAAAATAGTCTTAAAAAAAAAAAAAGGGGGTTAATGTTAGCTGCTTTAGGCTATGTGCAAAACGCTAACCAGGCTGCTTACCAGCTAGCTAGTTCATTAATAAAATTATTAGCGATTCAGTCAAAGTCTGACAAAGGCTCAGTTGCACCGATAGTTATGTGAGCAATGTTAGTCTGTGTTTCTGGCTCAGCAGTAACGTTACTTGTGCATATCTTTCTTTGACATCTACAGTCGCCAGCTAGTTAGCGGCAGAGCAACTTGAAAATCATTGCGCTGAGCAGCACGTTTTTTATGGAGCTGGCAAGCATGCTATATTAAGCTGGCAGCATCGCAGCGTCCTGTACTATCCAGGGATGCGTTTCCCAAAAGCATTGTCGTTAACTGCATTAGAACATAAAATTATTTGAGATCCATCTTGATACATCTAGCCATAATTTTGCTTTGGAAATCAGAACATTTTGTAAGTAGAATATGGTTTATGTGTGCAGTGTAAGGACAGTGTCTTGAAATGACTAAAAGATTAATAGATTTCTGTTCCTTGTTCATTTTGATAATTATGTAATATTTTTGATTTATTGTTTTAGGAAATTAAAAAAATACTATAACAGTAGAATATCTTCAGTCATACTTCCCATCATTCTGCAAGTTTTCAGCCAATTCCATCGCTGCTTTTCCCTTGTTATGCCCACTTCCTGATTATGTGAATACGAAAATTCAGTGTTATAGTCCCAATGGGCCAAAAATAAAGCGAATACAGTTATTTGCAATCATTGGGTCATTTTCCCCCACTGCGCCGCGACACCGAATTTTAGGGTTCTCCCACCTGTCAAATCCCACTTTAACCACTGATTAGACCTATTAATGTTCTTTAGCAGTTTCTGTTGTGGATTGGTGGTTGACTGGTTTGTTGTTGGTGGCATACAAAACCAAAACAATGAAAACTGTGTCTGTCCTTAAACTGTGTCTGTCCTTATATTAATAGACCTAAGTGCATAACTCACGCACACTAATCCTGGCAAGGCCAATTCAACTCATTAAGACGCAAACCTCCATTTTGAATTTCAGAGGCATGAAAAGTGCTGACGAATTCCCACAAAAACTGAGAGAAGTTCAATATCGCTGGGTAATTATCACGCTTTGCACCAATTAATCAGGAACTGCAGACAATGCCATTAACCAAGGTTATCTTACGCAGTGTTAAAAGCACCCGGATATCACCCGGGTAAGTGATTATCAAGCAGAATAACTGTGCATGTAGGTTATTTATCCTCTTGTGCAATGGCCAAATGATAATAGTTTTGTAAAGCACGCGAGTGCTTCAAACTGCAGCCAGCAAAAAATTCAGCGAGTTAAATTGCCAGCTATTTCTGCTCACGAGTGAGAAGACATATTGCACCACGGTAGTCTTGGAGTAATGTTATGCATAATTACTGTATGACTGAGGACTCCACACGACGGTTAGTCTCAGCACATTCCATCGACAGCCTTCATTGCTGAGTAAGCCCAAAGTCTTAATTTATCACACGGACTGTATGTTTGCTTGTCTGGAAAAAGTGGCAGCTTCCTCAATTCATGAGCACCCAGAGGAAATCATGATTAGGGAGGGACTGTAAGCTCACCAGGGAACCAGCTATTTCCCCTTATAATTTCACAGTACATACAAATCAGGAAAATAACTGGCAAAACTTGTTCAGGTGAAAACTGAAGCAGTTTACTTTCTGCAACAATTGTTACAGATGGGCAAAAACTCATGGGCTTACAGACAGATGCAAATGCCATTCCAGCAGCAAACAAAATGTCTGAGAATGAGCAAATATTTTATTAGTGTCATGTTCAGGATTTACGCACACATGCTAACCACCCTCACGTAAATCAGTGTATGCATCATTTGTATTTGTATATACCCAGAGAAGAATGGTCTTTGATGAAAGCAGGGGCCACAAGCACTTACAGCTGCGCTCAGAGCCTGGTCCACGTCAGC